TTCCTGCCCTTGCTGGTGGTTTTTTAAGTGATCTCAAACTCTCCATCATCAGCTGATGCTTTTGTCAAGGCACACAGAGCTTTTTCCCACTTTTCCAGAACTCCCAACCAGCTTTTCCCCCATTTCTAGGCAGTCTGAGGACACTCCAGGGCTCTGCCTTCATCCCTCCCAGCTCTTTCAGAGCTCCTTGTGCCCCCCAAACATTTTGTCTCCCATGTTTGGGCACTCTGAGCACACCCCAGGACTCTGCCCCTCACCCTCCAACTCGTCCAGACTTCCTTGTGTCCCCCAAAGAGCTTTGTCCCATGTTGGGGCAGTCAGGCACAGACTGGGGTGTGTTCATTCACCCCTTTCAGCTCTTCCAGAGCTCCCTGTGCCCCCCAAAGAGCTTTTGTCCCATTTCTGGGCACTTTGAGCATGCACCAAGGCTCTGCCCTTCATCCCTCCCACCTCTTCCACAGCTCATTGTGCCCCCCAAAGAGCTTTTGTCCCATTTCTGGGCAGTCTGAGCATGTCCCAAGCTCTGCCCTTTGCCCTTCCCAGCTGTTCCAAAGCTCCTGGTGCCCCCCAAAGAGTTTTGTCCCATTTTTGGGCAATCTGAGCACACTCCAGGCCTGTGCCTTCATCCCTCCCAGAAAAGAACCATTCTCATGCAATTCCAAGTCACCACCATGCAGCCATAAATCCCAACCATTTCTCCATAAATCCCCGATCCAGGGGAGTTCTGTCCATCTCATGCCCCCATGGGCAAACAGGTGCTTTGCCACTGAAACCCCAGCAGAGTGTGGATGATTTTTGTTCCATGGAAGGAAGGAAGGAAGGAAGGAAGGAAGCATTTCCATGCTCCCTTGGCCATGCCAAGCAGAAGAAGGGCAGGGTCTGTTTGCCATGTGCAGCCAGAGCTGACAGATTGTGGCCTTCAGGGAGCAGAGATGAAGAGCAAAGCAGCCAGAGAGGTGGTGGAGAGGATGGTTTGATGCCATCACCCTGGGCAGAAGCCCTACAGAAGCATGGTGGGAGTGAGATGAGGTGATGGGAGAGGCTGAGCGGGCTCAGCTCCCCAAGGGAAACCTCAGAACAAAGTCAAAGCAAGAGGGGACGAGAAAGGAAATGAATCAGAAACAGCTCCAGGATGGGAGGGAGAGGAAGAACCGGCGCTGGGATGTGCAGCATGAGAATCTGGCCTCAAACTCGGTGTCACTTCCCTTTCTGCCCCAGAGCCAGTGACCCCCAGCACGTCGGCACCCAGAAATCCCCGCCAGCCTTGCCAGAAAAGCCACCAGATCCCGGCACTGCCCACCCTGTGTTGCAGACATCTTTTATGAAAAATCCTTTCCTTAGGATTTTTCCTCCTAAGAAGCTGAGAGGTCTCAGGAACAAAATGTAAACAATGGTTATCTGCTGCTGTGGAATGCAACAGGTACATCTGTGATTGACCTCATGTAGTTGTTTCTAATTAATGGCCAATCACAGTCAGCTGGTTCGGGCTCTCTGTCTGAGCCACAAACCCTTGTTATTAATTCTTTCCGTTTTCTATTCTTAGCCAGCCTTCTGATGAAACCTTTTCTTCTATTCTTTTAGTATAGTTTTAATGTAATATATATCATAGAATAATAAATCAGCCTTCTGAAACATGGAGTCAGATCCTTGTCTCTTCCCTTATCCAAAACCCCCTGTGAACACCATCACGCCCCTGAGTCACTTCCTTGTCCTGCTCTGTCCCCCTGGGGCAGCACAGGTGCCACAGAGCACACAGCACACTGTGCCCTCCCACAGCCAGGCTGTGCCACTGCCTGGGTGACACCGGCTCCTCCTGGGCACTGAGCCCTCCACACTGTGCCACCCTCTGAGACTGATGGAGCTACAGACAACAATGGGTGTTTTGGAA